GTTCTAAGAAAAGAAATATCCATGGTAGCAAAGGCAACTAGGTACTTTACCATTTATATATTAATGGTGCAGATTGGATATCAGTTCCCACAATTGCCAGATAACATTATCCATAGGTATGATGTCTATCATATTATATATCATATCATGTCATATAATGTAATGCATAATGATAATTACATTTTAACATAACTGGAAGGGACCAGTGGGGAGTCTTTGAAAAAAAAGTTGAAAAGACAACTTTAAGATAGTGTTTGATTAAATAGAAATAAGTGATATCAAGTTGTATTTGATCTAGATTCCACATATAAAGAAAACACATATTAAATTCCAGACATGATAAATTTTATATTTGCATCTATGACTAAAATAGATACAAAATTTCTTATTTTATAACTCATATCACTCATACAATTCATACCATAAAACAAACAGCATTTTAAAAAGTCCACAGTTTTTAAAAAAACATCAATGTTGTTATTTAAAAGAGTGCGAGAGAGGATTATTGCAGAATCCAATCTGGGTTGGTCACCAGGAGCCCATCGTTAGGGAACCTCTGTCTACCAGAATGTGTACTTTGTGCTATTCTGTCTTAGTAACTATGTGGTGCCTGGTTGTGTATGGCTTTTTAGCTGTTGATTGGGTGTTGATGGCCAGTTATTAAGTGTTGGTTATTGGCTGTGCTGCTCCTAAGTACCTGATAAGCTGGTGATTCCTTGAGGATGGGCTCCAGCATGAGTCCTAAAACTCAGAAGACTAAACCTCTGGTCCTGGTTACTGACTGAGATTGGACACATATATTTGCCTTCATTTGTGAGAGAGGATTCTAGGCAATGCCGCTACCTCACTAGTTCCTTGAGATCCCCGAGCCTTTTGATACAGTCATGTTTTGAGGGATTTCTAGAAGGACATCAAGTATGGGATCCTGTCTCACTTTGGGAGGAATAATATTGCACAAGGCAGAACATTCACATCAAGATACAGGCATCACACTAATGGACAGTTCCTCTGCAAGAGAAAGTTCATCCCCCTTTTTCCCCCCATCCAGCAATAAGCAAAGCTGATATTTGATATACCAGCTGCTACTGATATTTCTATTCATACAGTTTGCTGATAGGTTGTAGGTATTTTTTAAAAGGGATCATTCATTAGCCATAAAATTACTGTATCTTCCATCAAACCTTGCCAAGGGATTCTTGAGAAATCAAATTTTGTGCAGCTCTATTCTTTTACATTATATAATATTGCCACCTAGTGGTTAGTATTGTATATTTCAGATACTACATTTTGAACATTTAATATTCAACAGCTTCGAATTTTATTTATTAAGACAAATAATGTATGATTCTGTTCTCTAGGCACAATTATTGTTCCTATAGCAACAATAGTTTTATGATTTTTTAAAAAAATATTGTTTTAGAAATATAAGACTTTTCAGAGACCCATGCTTCCAAAGGATTTAAAAAAATAAACTGTAAAACATATTCCTTTCCTTTCTTCTTTGTATAGATCATTGTAAAGTACAGTAAAGCCTTAATTTAGTTGACTAACTGGGGGTATTTAATATTCTTGACTTTACAAGAAGTATCAGAGCTCAAAGATGCTGAATGAAAATGGCACCTTGCCTTTCTGATAGATGTAACAGAGCTACTCAACAGTTTCAACATGCAACTTCAAGGAAAGGGGAAGCTCATCTGTGATATGCATTCACATGTGAAAGCATTTGAAGTAAAACTGAACATATTCATTAAACAAGTGAGAGAGGAAAACATCTGCCATCTTCCCACAACTCAAAAACTATTTGCGGAAAAACCAGCAGTTGCATTCCCAAACAAAACATGTGTGGATTCACTGGAAACATTGCAAAAAAGTAGATTTAAAGATCTTCATCTCTATGAATAGGACATACAGCTTTTCCGGAACCCATTTTCTATTGACATTGAAATTGTTGATCTGATTTACCAAATGAAACTGGCCGAACTACAGAATTGTGACTCTCTGAAAGACGCATTCAAATCAAGCAGCCTTACTAATTTCTATGCATCTGTCAGGACCCACTTCAACTAACCACCCAAGAAAGCAGAACTCTTGAAATTCTTGAAACAGGAAACTTTTATTAGGTGTCAATGACAGTAGGGAAGTCAAGGCAAGATCTAGGGAAAAACCCGTGCAAACGGTATAGTTAAGCTAGCAATATTCCTCCTCCCAAAGTTATAATGTCCATTTGAAATCTAGCCAATCCACAGGTGGCATGAAGCCTAGCTGACTGGTACAGTTGGCGGCATCTCAAGGTCTTCTCCAGCTTTCGTTTCTCTGTAAACATCTCCCTGATAAGGGAGACACATTCCTTTCTCAAGATGATAGAGGCAGGAGAGGGAAAGTAGAGAGCAAAAGTTATCCCAAGCAAAAGCATGCTCACCCTCCCCCAAGCAGAATGGCAGGCCCCAAAGATAGAATAACTATGCAGGAGCAACAATGAGGGTTTGGGGACCTGATAGCATCTCTCCCCTCTGAGACATATCTTAACCTCAGGAACCATGCACTTAAAATGGCAACCGTCTTTGGCAGCACCTATATCTATGAACACACTTTTTCCCGAATGAAACATCTGAAATCTCCAACCAGATCCAGACTAACTGGTGCTCACTTGCATCACTTATTACGACTAGCAGTGACAAATATGGAACTAGACCACAGGTCAGCAACCTGCGGCTCCGGAGCCGCATGCGGCTCTTTGAGCCTTCCCCTGTGGCTCCCAGCCTCCTCTGCCTTTGCAGAGAGAGACAGAGACAGAGAGAGGCAATTGCGTTTCCCTGCTTCTCTCTCTCTCACTCCCTCCCTCCCTCCCTCCCTCCCTCTGTGTGTGTATGTGTGTGTAAAAGAGAGTGCACTCACAGTGTTCTCCGAGGAGCTGAAAAGCTTACTGGGCGGAGCTCCTCCCTTTGCTGCGTCTCTGCAGGAAGCAGGAAGGGCAGGAGAGAGCTAGCTAGCCCAGCTAGGCTGACTCAGGAATTCTGGGAGTTGAAGTGCATGAGTCATAAAAGAGAAGAGGTTGCCTACCTCTGAGCTTGTTGGACAACAGCTTGAAGCTTGCCAGGTGAGCAGCAGATAGGAGGGGGGGGAAAGAGAGAGAGGGGGGGGGGAGGGAGGGAGAGAGGGAGAGGAAAGAGAGAAAGAAAGAGAGTGGGGGAAGAGGAGTGGCAGACTAAGGGCAGATAGAGAGGGAGGGAGAGAGAGAGACCCTTTTGACATCTAAAATGAAGATAACACTGCATATATCCTTTTTTTACCTGTGTATGTAATTTTATTTCCTTAAAACATTCTCTTGGTGATCATTGTTTTAATAATATGGATATTCCCAAGAGTCATATTTTTACTTTTATTTTTAATGTGTATATATACATATACATACACACACACACACACACACCTATAATAAAGGTAAAAAAGCATATATGCAGTGTTATCTTCATTTTAGATATCAAAAGGGTTTTGCGGCTCCCGGTGTTTTGTTTTTGGTGGGAAACCTGTCCAAGTGGCTCTTTGAGTGTTTTGGGTTGCCTATCCCTGAACTAGACATTGATTATCTCATAAGCCAAAAGCAGGCCCATACTTCCCATTGAAATACTAATAAGCTTATATTAATTAAAATTATTCTTCATTTTAAATATTGTATTGTTTTTTCCTGGTTTTTTGCACTACAAATAAGATATGTGCAGTGTGCATAGGAATTCGTTCGGTACAAGTAAAAAAAATGGATCCAGAAGAAAATATTCAAATATAGACAAATAATTAACTCAAATAGATTTTTTTATTAATAAAAACTTAAAAATTCCACATTCCACTTCCCTCTTACAAATTTTAAAAAGTATCCTTTTGAATATTTTCTTCACTTAAAAACTCATTCAAATAATTAACCAACTTATTTTTCTTGTTTCATTTTATATTTGATTTTACATTGTTCTATAATCATTTTTTTTCAAACTTAGTCCACTCCAACAGTCTGAGGGACAATGAATTGGCCCCATTTAAAAAGTTTGAGGACCCCTGCTCTACATTAAATATCAAAGTATGTCATTTGTATCAATTTGCAACATTTGCATAATACCAAGAGTTAATGTTCATACTGATAAGAAGTTTAACAAATGTTTCTAACACTATCAACAGGTATGGACTGACCTATCTTCAAAAGAGGCAAGCGTTTTCCTCTTTTGAAGATAGATCAGTCCATACTGACTGACTTTCCTAATTCAAAATTTTGAATTAAAATCTTACTCTTAAATTATATAACATTTTTTCAACTGAAAGAAGACTGATAAAATTCTTGTGTTGCACTCTTAATTCATTTTCTAATATATATTACTAGTTAGAACTCTGAGCACCTTGTTCTTTGGACTCTTTCCAATTAAGGCTGCTATGAGAAATATCTGGAACTAATTCCAATAAATACTTGTTCCCTGTATAAAGTAGTCAAACATGCTTCAAATACTTAGATCCAATAACTGATTCATTTGCTGAGCCAGACCGATGTCCAAATTACCCAACTGACTTAAGCATTTACTCAGATGACACAACACATGGCACAGATCTAACTACATCCCAGCTCTTTTTTAGATCTTCGCCATTATTCCTTTGGGGAAATAAATTCTGCCTTTTTAATATTCCCCAAAATATTTCTTTCTCTGGGTTCTTCCCACAGTACTTAAGTAGTCCTTGATTTACAACTGTAATGGAGCCTTGACCATCATGATTGTAAGTTGTGACCGTTGTAAAAAAAAATATTTTTGTGGTGATTTTTAAGCTAATACAACAATCATAAAGTAGCCACTGAAGTCATTAAGCGAATCAATCGTTTGCTCTGGGTGGTTTTGCTGAAAATTGGAAGTAAATGCTATAAAAGCCACATGACCATGGGATACTGCAAATGGCTGTAAATGTGGCCCAGTTGCTGAGCACCTGAAGTTCAGTCACATGACTGGGGGGGGGGGCTGACCATCAGAACTTCAAATCCAGGTTATAAGTAGCTTCTGTGTAGGTCCATCATAACATTAAAGAGTCAACAAACAACTTGGTATTAGCATTCATAACTTGGATTTTCTAGTCTGGTCTATTTCAGAGAGCTGACATCAAAACAATTGAACTGAACTTTTCCCTAGCGTTTAATTGTCTACAACAACAGGGAAATATTCTGTAGGAAATGATTAATATCAGTACTGTTAAGAACTAAAGGCTCTCTGCCATGGACCAAGGACAAAATGAAATCTACATCATAGATGAATGACAGAAAAAAGTTCGCCAAAGCAAGCCGCGTTGTTTAAATGTAAATGTGTTTACTTCTAGTAATACAATTACTGAAAGGCAGATGAAAGTAGCCAATCTTCATAAGGTGATGTTTTGGTTTCTCTAAGTTGCCTCGTCGTGGGTCTGATTTGTTATAAATTGTCAATTACTTTGCAATTATAGACTATACGCAGTAAGGCACTGGCACTAATGATGGAGAGTATTCTTGTCCGTTGGAATAAACGTTACCACCGCCCACGTTCTCTCTTCACCCCCGCCCTTCTCACTAACGAATCTCCAACTTCAACTCCGCCCCATCCTTTGAAACCCAAGCGGGAAAGAGAATCTTCCTACCTCGTTTAGTGCCACCTCGCTAGTTCATTCCCAATTGGTTAGAGGTGCTGTCAATCCTATAAAGCAAAAGGCAATTAAAAAAAAAAGCCCGCGCAAGTTCGGAAGACCGTGCCTGAAAATTGCGCGGGCCCTTGCGTTACTGAGACGGCGTGTCGGTAACTGCAAGTTAGCCGCTGTTTCCTGTACAGGAAGGAGCGGTAGGCTAGTTTGTAGGGCACGGAGGGTGTTGGGCGGTACGCTTGAACGACAAGGCGTCGCTTGTCGTGGGTGCTACGTTTCCAACTCTTCGGGTGGGACCTTCGTTGCAGTATTTCCAGTCCCTCGTGCAGGGCATATCTCTTCATTTAGAAGGGACAATATAAACAAACGGATCAGAGTCTCAAAAAATGAGGATTTGCTTGAGGAAGGAAGACCGTGATTATAGAAAGAGTAGAAATAGTGCTCCGTGTGAAATATTAAGTAAAGCTTAAAAAGTGCCTTTTTTCGGCCGTGGGCGCTAATTTAAGCGGCATAGTTAAGCCAATAATAATAAATTGTTAGTTAAGTAATTTGTTGGTAAAAGCTGGAAATGAAGTGTTAGCAGTAGTCGAGAAGAAAATGGAAAGGAACAACTCTAGCGTTGAGGCAGGGAGGAACTCTTGTGATGGGGAGGTTGAGGGCCAGGCGGGAGTAAAGAATTCGCGGTAATATGTTTATGGAGGAAGAAAGTACAGTTGAAAAATAGCTATAAGTTAATCGGTGAATATAGCCAATTACAATTTTATTATTTCCTACTGGAAGACACTAGAATGTCGTTCTGTTCTTTTTTTTTTAAAGTAAAAAATAAAACCAAAATCATTAAAACCAAGATAAATCCAAAAGCCCATAAAGCTATCTATATCACAGTATTAAAGCTATAATACCAAATTTTAAAGTCCAATTTAAAGAGAATTGGCTTGACACTTTTCTTAGAGCCAGTCATAGTTCTAAAGCATTTTTTCCAATCCTGCCTCTCCCAGGTATTTTTTTAATCCTCATTTTTATCTTCTAGTTAGTCCAACCAAGAGGTGATAAGAATTATATTGCACACCTGGATGTAGATCCATACGTAGTTATTTCACATAGGCTTTAAAAATCGGCCTCTGCAAGTAGAGGCTACCTTCAAAAACATCTGTGATTTTTTATAATCAGGCTCAGAATGAAACAGGCAACTTTTAAAATAATAACTATAAGAAAATACTATATTGTCTCCATTTTTGCAAGCATTTTTTTCAGTTGGAATTTTTATATCTTTAATCTTGGATATCAGGATAGTGCATGATCAAATTTTATCTTAGAATATCAAATAATAAATGGCAAATAAAACCCTTAAAAGCAGGGCTAGTAATTATATTTTGTTAAAATATTTGCATAATATCTTCATATATTTTAATCTTCAGATTCATGACTTTAAAGACAAGTGTTGAAATATAGTGATTGCTTTCCAAACTAAGAAGCAACTTCTGAGCTTTCATCTAGCACAGAGGTCAAACTGCCGACCTGATGCGTCACAAGGAAATCACGTCCATCCCATTGCCGGCAGTGGGGACAAAGCTCTGATATGTCATGTGATGTTGCGAGTTTGACATCTGATCTAGCACATATGAAAAGGGTTTTTATATTACAAAATATTGTCATAGGTGATCAGTGTGTGATCTTCTAAAGCAGGTGTGTCAAACTGCCAGCCCATGGGCCGGTTGCATCTGGAGGCCACCCCCATCCCAGCTCCCGCAATGCAAAAATGGTTACAATACATTGCAACATGTCACATGATGCGGGAAGTTGGACACCCATGTTCTAAAGTGTAGCTGATTTACATTCTAAGGAATGGGTGTCAAACTCGTTTCATTATGTGATGTCTCGCAATGTATCATGACTTTTTGCATTGCTGGAGCTGGGGTGGGCACGACCTCTGCATGATGCAACCGGCCCATGGGCTGGCAGTTTGACACCCTTATTCTAAGGCATCTGAAAAGCAATTTGGCAGTTAACCTATATAGAGATTTATTTGTTTTTGCAGAATATTGTTAGTTCTTAGTAAAATTCATAACTATTAGCAGCTAAGCTCCCTACTGTCTGATGCAGTGCATTTATAGAACTTCTCTAATACAGTGTTTTCATGGTAGCCTTTCAGCTATGCTTTAGATTATATTTTGATTCAGAAATTGAATATGAATATACATTTTTATATAGAGATGTACAATCTCCATACATTGTAAGAAATGCACAAAACACAAGGTGTATGTTAGGACAGTAAAAGGTATGTTATCAAGTTTCCTCCATTACACTATATATAATTTTAACATTCAAGGGGATGGAACTGACCTGTGAAATCTGTTGTCCAAGCAAGTTAGCTTTCCATATCTAGGAAAAGTGCTTGGGATGAATGGTACTTATTCCTTCCCTCATCTGAAATTTCTTTTTTTCAATATAAAAACTGTCCTGTTTATTTAATCTGGCCTATTTATATGAATCAGGAATTAAAAAGTGACAAGTGTCATCATATCTTGCTTGATTTTAGAAAAGTCTGTATAAATTGAATCTTCAGGTTTATTGCTGTTCTTTCTTATACAGAATGAAATTAAATATGCTTTCAATAAATAATAAACTTAATACCACTTGTTTACTTGAAATTTCATTTTTGTCCACAGATATTAACCTGATCAGAGTTTTGTTTGTGAAACCCATATATTAAAGTATTTATTTGAAAATAGTTTGATATTTCAAAGGGCTACAGAGCAGTGTGAGCTGATTATAGAAACCTAAAAAATCTTGTAAGTTTTAATCATTCTTTCTAAACTGTAATGTGTGCATATAAACTACTTATTTCTTTCTCCCAAGTACTCTAAACATAGTATGTAAGTTTTAACAGAATAATAACAATAAGAGTTGGAAGGGACCTTGGAGGTCTTCTAGTCCAACCCCCTGCTCAGAGAGGAAACCTCATACCATTTCAGACAAATGGTTGTCCAATTTCTTGTTGGAGCATTTACAACTTCTGGAGGCAAGTTGTTCCACTGATTGTTCTAACTGTCAGGAAATTCTCTTTAGTTCTAGATTGTTTCTCCTTGATTCGTTTCCATCCATTGCTTCTTGTCCTGCCTTCAGGTGCTTTGGAGACTAGCTTGACTCCCTCTTTGTGGCAACCCCTGAGATAGTGGAACAAGTTTTAAAATACAGTTTGGAACAGGGCTCCTCAAAGTGGTCAATATTAACCCCCAGGCTGATAGAATTACCCAAGAGGTCAATAAATGGCTAGAGGTCAGTAGGTAGTGGATAAATGATGGGGAGTTGATTGGGATCAGTTAATCTTTTGGGATTTCTGAAGAGGTCCATGTGAGTCCCTAGTCCTGAATGAGAAGTGGCTAGCAGGCTAGTTTGTTACCCAGCATTATTAGTTAAAGTTAAAATAGATGTATTATATTATTTTCACTTAATAAACATTTAGGGTCAATGAAAAATCTAAATCTTAATGAAAAATCAATTAGATGAAGAGTTTGGGGATCCCTGATCAAGCACTGATATAATACTGTTTATCACTTTGCAGACTTCATCCTTTTTGCACTTATGTCATAGCATCTGATGCAAGTGCTCAAGCAGCATAATTTATACTGTGATACCACAATGCATACACTATTTCGATATAAGCTAGGTTTTCGATATAAGCTAGGCCTTTTACCAATGTTTAAATTCTTCCCAGGGAGAATTTAAACATTGGTAAAAGGCAAAAATCTAATTCATGCATGAAATGGTTAGCATACTCTATTGACATAAGTCTACCATTGTATGTGTGAGCCCGTTTTATTTTTTGAGCAGTCCATTGAAAAATTACCCTTGCTTATCAAGCTAAGAATTTTAAAATGAACCAAATTAGCAAAAGGTAACTGCCAGCACTGAAGCTGGCAGTACTTTGGGAACAGCAGTTTTTGTTACTCATCTACTTAATTCACCACCACTAGTTTAGGATTTGTCTTTAAATTCTACTATACCTTCCTATGTAAAAGCAATATGTGATAGCTATTTTTCAGTGTTCTTCAGTAGAAAAATATGCTTCTAAAATCCATTGTATTAAGATTGCCAAGCAGCTTGAGCTGTTTCTGAGTTGAAAAAGCAAGCTGTTTCAAAGTTGGAAAAATGCATTTTGGTTATTATTTCTTTAAAGTATGTTTTACAAGTATACACAGGTAACCCTTGACTTACAACCATTCATTTAATGAAATTTCAAAGTTATAATGGTACTGACAGAAGTGACTTAACATCTGATCTTCACACTTACAACCAGCATCCCTATGTTCATGTGATCAAAATTAAGGGCAATTGGTGTGTGTTTATGATAGTTGCAGCATCCGAGGCTCATGTGATGCAATCTTCCCAGCTGGCTTTCAGCAAGCAAGTCAATAGGAAACATTTCAATTCTGGTACTTGATTAATAGGTATTTAAATCAAGTTCTACTGTACAACAATAAAGATTCATTCTTATACTGAAATGTACACACTCTAATACTATTTTTATAATATTTTTTTATTTGTTTTACCTAAAGCAAACACGTTAAATATGAATTTGAATAGCATCAAGTATTCTACCCAGTTACTCCATTATATCTATCTATCTATCTATCTATCTATCTATCTATCTATCTATCTATCTATCTATCTATCTATCTCTATCATCTATCCTTGTCTGTGTGTGTGTGTGTGTGTGTGTGTGTATGGCTACAATGGAGTAACTGGGTAGAAATTCAAATTATATATATATTCAAGAATATTGGTAAAAATGCGACTCCCAGGCATAATTATGAATAAAAGAATAAAATACGATCACCGGGAGGGTTAAAATAAGAATACTTTATTAAAAATATACTTATACTAAAAAGTTGCCAAGCTTTTTGTAATGGCCTTTTAGCCCTGACAATGCTGGGGAGTTCCCCCAGCGAAAGCTTGGCAACTTTTTAGTATAAGTATATTTTTAGTAAAGTATTCTTATTTTAACCCTCCCGGTGATCGTATTTTATTCTTTTATTCATATATATATATATATATATATATATATATATATATATATATATATATGAGATTTATCAACAATTATAGCTTTTTGATACTCTTGATATTGATAAAAATGTATATTTTATATGAAAATTTGAATATTCACAATTTTATTCATATTTAATGTTAAATTTATATCCCCATCTTTCATCCATCAGCTCAAGTAGTGTTCACATATTCCTCCTCCAATTTTCCCAATTAGAACAACACTGAAGTAGGCTGGGCTAAGTTACCAAGTCAACTTCTGGGGCTAAGATTGGACTTTTATTTGAGTTTACCCCCTTACCCAGTATAACTCACCAAACTCTTTCTCAGAGGGCTTCAACACAATTTGTAAAACAGATGTCCAAAAAATAATTTAGACTAGCTGGTCCCATAATCCCACCTTAAATTATCCATAGGGTAGAGGTCTGTGCATCCAGCAAATTTCAACTGGATTTTCCCTATTCCCATGATAATATGTTATCTCTTCTTAAGATTCCATTAGGAAAGAGTTTGGATGAAGAAGGTTTTTGACATTAGATTTCTCAAAGCGCTTTCTGTAATCTCATGAACAACATGATTTCAATGTTAATTTAATGTATAGAATGCATTATTTGGATAGTTTGATTTAGTTTGCCATTTTTATTCTGCATTCATTTTCATATATATAGTATTCTGATTCTTTGAGGAATGTAGTGGTAAAATCAGAAATAAACCATACTGTACATGCAGAAAGCCTATGTAATCAAAATCAATATTTAATAAATCAGCTTCAGAAACTTGCTACTCTATACAGGTATAGCTTTACTTTTCTTTGAAGTTAATATCAAATTATTTATACATGTAAATGTTTGATTTTCATGTAAGAACTGTTTTCTAAGGAATGTGTTACATGTATATAATAACTACTATTGGTTCTCTTTAAGATGTTACAGAAATGAATGAAGAACACATAGATGTAATAAATGGATGTAATAAAGTTAGATCTCGTACTCAGAATGAAGCTGCCTTATTGGCTCTTATGGAGAAGACAGGTTATAATATGGTTCAAGAAAATGGACAACGAAAATTTGGTGGACCTCCACCAGGTATTTGATTATTGCTTCGTTTCAAAATATTAGTTTTGGAAAAATAATAGAAAAATAATTAATATGCACAAAACGTATTATTGACTAAGTAGTAGCCTAGCTTTGATTAAAGTATGTGTGAAATGGAGAATTCTCCCCTCCCCCCCAAACTCAAATCATTTAATTTCAAATATTCTGCTGAACCATTTCAGGTTAGCTATGGTTGCTAGAACCAAAATCCAGGTGGGGCATGTATGGATGTACATTGTACTCTATATCCTTCATAATTCCCAGTGTGGCATACTCCATCAAATTACCTATCTTCCTGGCACTATTTCTTCCTTCCCACTTCTCAACTGCCAGCTTAACCCAGTAGTGTCACACTGGCTTTCCTCCCATTGCTTCCTAAGTGTTTTGCCCAAACGTTCCCTTCCATTGTCCCCTTATCTTCCTAAGCTGCTGATATCCTTGGTATTTTTCTCTGCTGTCCCATCATCACTTCTGTCTAGAACAAAATAGACCTGTTTCATTTCACATATAGAGCAGAACACCCCCCCCCCCAGCCAGGCATGTTCAGAGTAGATTATTCAGGAACAGCTATCTGCACAGAATTTTTTTTCATGTTTTGCATATCTGTACTGAATAACCATGCGAGTATACATTGCATTTCTTTACAATATGACAATTCCCTGTTAAGTTAAAATATTTTACTTAATTTTAGGTATTCCAGTTGAACCAAGTATGATACAGCTATATTCCTCATTATTCGTATTTAGGACTAAATTTAAATCAAAACAGTGGGTCTTTGTTTAAATAGAAGTCACAGAAATAAATTTAGACCAGATAATACAAGCCATGTCTAATGGAGAACTGATGGACAATCAGTATTTGTAGAGTGCATTAGCATTTTAGTTTGTATAATCTGTTGGATATTATATGAAAACCTCTGAAATTGTTTTAAGGTAAGTGAAATAATATGATAAATAATTGGCCAGGATTTTTTTCTTAGTATCAATTAATACAAATGTGTTGAATTTGTTTTTTAAGGTTGGGAAGGTCCTCCACCACCCCGAGGCTGTGAAGTTTTTGTGGGAAAAATTCCTCGTGATATATATGAGGATGAATTAGTTCCTATTTTTGAAAGAGCTGGAAAGATTTATGAATTTAGATTGATGATGGAATTTAGTGGTGAGAATCGTGGATATGCTTTTGTAATGTATACAACAAAAGAGGAAGCTCAGTTTGCCATTAAGACCCTTAATAATTATGAGATTCGTCCTGGAAAATTCATTGGTGTTTGTATAAGCTTGGATAACTGCAGATTATTCATTGGAGCCATTCCAAAGGAAAAGAAGAAAGAAGAAATCTTGGATGAAATGAAAAAAGTCACTGAAGGTGTTGTAGATGTTCTTGTATATCCAAGTGCAACGGACAAGACAAAAAATCGTGGGTTTGCCTTTGTAGAATATGAATCCCACAGAGCTGCAGCTATGGCAAGGAGAAAATTAATTCCTGGTAAATATGTTCATTCTTCACATAAAAGGTTTAATAGTATTCTTGTTAAGAACATGTATGTTTAAGTTATGGTAAAAGCTACTCGGTATTCAATATTGAGAAAAATAAACATGGCTGAAGTGTATTATGCTATCCTCGGGTTATAGATTTCTCTTTTGCAGTCCTTTTTTCCTAGTACCTTTATTGTTAAAATTGGAAGTACCTTCTGTTTTCTACCAAATGTAGATATTTGTATATTGTTGTTTTAAAAGTGAATAGTCTTAATTTGGCGGTAAATAGGCAAATTTCACTTGCTGTACAGCAGAGATGTATTTTTTTGTAAAGATGGTGGAAGTTATAGGTGACATCTGTGCATGATTATTTATCATGATCTATGTTTGTGTTAACCTAGAGGGTTAATAGGAAAGCATGGTTTAGAATTTGGCAAATTAGCCAAGATGGTTAATGATATGATGCATGGTATTTTTACTGTTAATTCAGTCATGGACCATTTCTCTTTTCTGGATTACCTTTTTTAGCTGCTTATATGGATTCAGCCCCTTATTCATGGTACAAACTTAATTTCAGGTTTAATTGTACTGTATTTGGGTTACAATAGAGTCAATCAACTTATTTTTTTGTTAAAAGCCTGAATGTTCAATGTTTTAATAGACTTTTTAAAACAGTTGTGCTCTGAGCTCATGGTATAGGAAAATGAATAGTTTTAGAAATAAAATGGCAAAAATCAATCTTATGTCATAAACCACTTACTTCAATCTCTATTTGACTTGATATTTTATCTAATCAGTTGATATTTTGTAAGCAATTTTGCAGGTGCAGTTCATATATGTTTTTGATGGGCTAAAAGGCAGGCAGGGTGTACTCTGTCTCTAGAATGCCAGCTCTTAAGGTAAGAGAGAAAATACCCACATGGCATATGACCAGTGGGTATTAGAAGAGTACCTGCTCATGACAAGGAAGAGTGCAACACAAAACTGAGTAATTGCTGGTAAAAGCAGCATACCTTATATAAGTGCTTGTAGTACTATTATTGGACAACTGCTACAGCCAGGAAAGGAGTAGTAGCCTGACCTTGTTCAAGAGCCTTAACATAATATAATGCTCTATATTACTGGAAGATCTGGCTTAAAAACAGTAACTGTGAGAGGGAGTTTGAAGTCCTAGTGGACGATCACTTAACCATGAGCCAGCAGTGTGCAGCAGCAGCCAAAAAAGTTAATACAATCCTGGATTGTATAAACAGAGCCATAGAGTCAAGATCACGTGAAGTATTAGTTCCGCTTTATAAAACCTTAGTAAGACCACACCTGGAATACTGAAGCCAATTTTGATCACCATATCACAAAAGAGATGTTGAGAGTTTGGAAAAAATTCAGAGAAGAGTAACTAAGATGTTCAAAAGCCTGTAAAATAAAACATACGAGGAACGGCTGCAGGACTTGGGTTTGGGTAGTCTAAAGAAAAGAAACGGGAGACCTGATAGTAGTATTTCAGTATTTGAGGGGCTGCCACAAAGAAGAGGGGGTCATGTTATTTACCAAAGCACCAGAAGGCAGGACAAGAAACAATGGTTGGAAACTAATCAAAGAGGGAAACAACCTGGAATTAAGGTGAAACTTCCAGCTTGCCTTCAGAAATCAGGGGCACTCCATCACTGGAGGTTTTTATCAAGAGACTAGACAGTCACTTGCCTGAAATGGTATAGGTTCTCCTGCTTGAACAGGGGGCTGGACTAGAAGACTTCCAAGGTCCCTTCCAGCTCTATTCCAAGTCTAAATAACAGCAAGCCAGGAGAAGCTGTCTTGTCATATGCTGTATTAGCACCTCAGTCACCTCTGATGCTAAGTAGTCCTATTCCAGTCACTTTTCCTTCACTAACTAGGCATGTTGTAAAGCTCTTCAGGCAGGGCAGGGATTAGAATGTCCATATTTGCATTCTGTCTTAGAGTTGTGTCAATATGGTTTAAGTCTACAAGAACCACTGATCAGGAATCCAGATTAATACAAGTGTCAGGAGAGCAAGTGGCAAATTCCCAAACTCCAAATTTACCTCAACTCACATTATTTCTAGCTTATTTTCCACCTATTTTCACTCACTTTTTTCTTCACCTCTTTCTCTTTAAAATACTTCCCCATTGCTTTGCTTTAAAGGTTTCTTTTGAGGAGGAGGAGATGTTATCAAGCAAGAACTTGGCAGGAGAGACTCAAACGAAAAGGGCAAAATGTGTTTTAGGGTGTTTCATCACGACATTTTTCAAGAACTGTTTTGCCAGCTGCCATACCCTTGAAATCCAGTTGGTTTTCCTAGGAGTGAAGGTTCAGCAGCAGATCTTCAATAGAATCAAATATATGTAGCTCAGGGTTTAACTGTGGAGTCCTTTATGATCTCTGAGACTGGTTATTTGCTTGCAGATCTTTTCTTATCTGGGTAAGTAACATCATCAATGCTAGAGAGTGTAGGTTTGTTCCCCACAAGCAAATTACTGTATACACTTATTAGCACTGATGATGTTGGGTAATAAAATGTCTGCAAGCAAACAAACAAGCTTAGAAAACACCAATAACACAGCAGTATGCTTTTCCCGGTTTCTTTTGCTTCCATTTAATGAGTTCAGATTGCAACACTGCTAGTCAGCTACTACGAATTTTCAAAGCCAGCAATTTAAGTTTCTAGAGTGCATTGCAAAAAGCTATACATAACTGGAGAAAGTTGTTTTTCCAGCAATTGATACTTTATAATTCATGGAAATCTAATATGGGACACAGCACCACACAATCTGAGTACTGCTAAGTTAATGCCATAAAATTTATTACCATAAGATTTCTGTTAGAAAACTTTCTTTCCATTAATTTCTTAAGATAACTTATTTTAAAATGTATTCCCTTATTCTTGGCATTTAAACTTAATTGGAATTTACTGTATCTTCTGTTTTGTTCAGAATATGGGGTTTTTTTTTAATTCTTTTAAGTAATTGTAATCTGTCCTGTTGGGTTTCTTTCTTTAAAACTTGGAAAGGGGAGCAAAACTACTTCTGATGAAGATTTTTTTTTTTTTTTTTTGGTAGGAACTTTCCAGTTATGGGGCCACACTATTCAAGTAGATTGGGCAGATCCAGAAAAAGAAGTAGATGAAGAAACAATGCAGAGGGTAAAAGTACTGTATGTTAGAAACTTAATGATGTCAACCACAGAAGAAACAATTAAGGCTGAGTTTAACAAATTTAAACCTGGAGCTATTGAACGGGTAAAGAAACTTAGAGATTATGCTTTTATTCATTTTTTCAACCGAGATGATGCAGTTGCTTCTATGTCAGTTATGAACGGAAAATGTATTGATGGTGCTAGCATTGAGGTAACACTAGCCAAGCCAGTAAACAAAGAAAGCACTTGGAGACAACATCTTAATGGCCAAATTAGCCCCAATTCTGAAAATCTTTTAGTCTTTACAAGCAAAGAAGATGGTCATCAGAAATCACTAACAAAACCAGCAAATCTTCCAGTACGCCTCAATGGGCATAATAGTCCAAGTCCTCCTGAAATTGAAAGGTGTACTTACCCATTTTTTCCAGGAACAAAACTTACTCCAATTAGCATGTACTCTTTAAAATCTAGTCATTTTAGTTCTGCTGTGATGCAGTTAGATTATTACTGCAACAAAAATAACTGGGCACCTCCAGAATATTATTTGTATTCGACTACAAGTCAAGATGGAAAAATTTTGCTGGTATATAAGATCATTATTCCTGCAGTTGCAAATGGATCCCAGAGTTATTTTATGCCAGACAAACTCTGCACAACAGTAGAAGATGCAAAAGAGCTAGCAGCACATTTTGCACTCATGCACTTGGGTAAGTTTTTAAAACTTTGGTTTTAATTTTAATCATCGTAGTACTTAATTATTGTTATTTAGGCATAACATATCTAAACTGCCCACTTCATTTAGTAGGCAGCTTCTTCAGAAACATTTGCGGTATTTCAAGTTTTTCTCTCATTCAAATGTGTGTGTGTATATACAGTAGAGATAGTGTTTTTAACTTTCTTATTAAGCAAGTCACATCATGCTAATTATTTTTTTTTAAAATCTTTTAGAACAAATATAGAGAATTAATATTTTAAAAATTACTTTAGATATACAGTTTGCTTCTATCAATCCATGGATTCTTTGCCTTTAAGTTATTTAACATGGAGATATTCTTTCTAGTGGTTTTGAAAAGGCAGTGGCAGTTAATTTGGATTTCTGTAATATCTTTTTCTATTTAAAAATATTATCATTAAAAAGGTTCAGTAGAAAAAGTAGGAAGCAATGTTTGGGGATTGATTTACATAAATATTTAAATTCTTTTTCCTTATGGTTTTAAGAAAATTAAATTTCACTTATGTTAATTACAATATAAAATTTGTATCTCCTGATTTAATTACCTTTGAAATAAGTCTACAAGGTAGTAACCTTTAAAATCTTCTTAGTTTCTTAACAGAAAAGGGATGGAAACATTGTAATTTTTGTGGTGATAAGTAAAGGAGTCCCTGTGGGTTTTATTCCGCTAGTTGTAGCTGACGAGGGGGTGGTACTCATCTCCGTTTCTTTAAGGCATTGATTCAGCACTGTTCAAAGACATTTCCACAGTCATATGGCCAGCATGACTTCACGCTGCAGCGCAAAGTGTATGACGAAACTTGGAATGCTGCTATCATCCCACTGAAGTGGTACCTATTTACTTGCATTTACATGCTTTCGAACTGCTAGGTTGGCAGTAGCTGTGGCAAGTGATAGTAGCTCACTTTATCACTCTATCCCAGTGGTATGAATATAGACCTCTGGTGTCTTTTAAACCACTGAGCCATTGTACCTCTCAATTTTTGTAGTAGTCAATTATATTTTTACTTGAAAAGACACTTTCTGGTGGCAACTCCCTTGATTTCTCAAGCTGGATTTTCATATCATACTAAGCCTAAAATATCTGAATATACTGCAGTATGTGATTCATTATTAATTGAAGGTTTTGTTTTTCATGTGCTCAACTATCATCAGATAGTTTAATGCATGGGTATAAAACTTGCCGTGTCACGTGACATGTCGCAATGTATCGTGACTTTTTTCGCATAGCTGGAGTGGGTGCGGCCTCCGCATGATGCAACCTGCCCACAGGCCAGCAGTTTGACACCCCTGGTTTAGTGTGATAATGCAATTTATGTAAAACAAAAAAGTGTGATCTCTTCATCCTCCAGTTTGCTCATTCTACCCATAAAATGTCAAACAACTGAAAGCAAGTGTTAAATTTAAATGTATAAATGTATTTGGTTAAGATTACATCACATTGAGCCATAAATCTATAAGTGGAATAGCATGTTCTCCATTTCAGTCATGCCTGGAGTTCTGAAACATTGTGGGCCACAGCACACTAAAATAAATATGTCTTCCTTTTGAAATCATCCAAAGGCAGGCTATTTTCAACTTTTCTGATCAAGTACATCTGGTAAATGGGAAATAACAAGCTTTCTATTTCATATACTAAATATGTGAAATATGAATATTCATATACCCTAGATCAGTGGTTCTCAACCTGTGGGTCGGGACCCCATTTGGGGTCGAATGACCATTTCACGGGGGTCGCCAAACCATGCTGTCCGCCATTTTTTTCCCTTTTCCCTAGCTGTCCTACTCCCTCTTATTGGTGGCCACACCCACTTGGGGGTCACCACAACATGGGGAACTGTATTATGGGGTCACGGCATTAGAAAGGTTGAGAATCACTGCCCTAGATATTTATGAGAAAAGGTTTTTGCTGAAAAATCAATACCCCATTTTGCATCTTAAGAAGACAGAACTCTTGGAATCTTTCTTCCACTAGGCATCTTTATTAAGAGAAACTGGTTGCAGGCATTCTAGACAGGACTTGGGGTCCAAACTCTCCTATTCAAGGTTTTAAGGGGTTCCCCAGTAGCCCCACCCAACCCCCCTTCTTCTAGCAACAGTCCCAGGCATTACATTCCCACCCCCTTTGTCTCACTGCCAACAAGAGGTAGACTTCAGAGAGGAGTACATGAAAGGTAATAGCTCCATTCTTATGGTTAGTCCTTTTGGTGGTATCCACATCCAGTCTCTTTGAAGTGTACTGAAGGAAGTGAGGGTTATAAAGCCCCTTTGTTCACCCCCTTCCCATCATCATATGATAGAATCTAGAGAAGGCAGGAATGGGGTTTTCCATAGTTCATAACTAGAGATGAAATATAATTGGATTCTGACATCCTGCCCCCTTAAAAATAAGATAGATCCACCTGAAAGAAAACAAAACAGCTATAAAAGTTAGTCAGGCTTGTTAGGATACTCTGTGTGAAACTTCTTTAATAGCTTCAGGGCTCTGACATGACGTTTATGGACCCATTCGTTTTGTGAGGCAGGGAGATGTTCAACTAGATACTGAGTCGCTCTATGATATCTCCTAGAGTCAAGGATTTCCTTTATTTCGAAGTATCGTTCGCCCTCCACCATGATTGGAGGTGGTGGGAGGGGGATTTTTGGCCGTAAACATGACTGATGCTCTCTTTTCAGCAAGCTGCAATGAAAAATTGGGTCTATTTGCCTGAGGTTTTTTGGTAAGTCTAATTCTATTGTTACTGGGTTTATGATTCTTTTAATTGGAAAAGCCCCTATATCTTTTGGTCCAAGTTTTTTACAGGGTGGTAGGGACTTTAGGTATTTTGTAGATAAGTACACCATTTCTCCTATAATGAATGGTGAAGGCTCAACCCTTTTTTTATCGGCTTGTGCTTTGTATGCCTGCCTAGCTTCATCTAGTGCTTTTCTAACTATTGGCCAGATGTTTTGTAGTTTTTCCATCCATTCTTTCAGTGATGTGATCGTTGGTTCGTTTGGGGTTAATTCTGGCATGGGGTTGAAACTTTGACCATTGGCTATTTGAAAAGGAGTGTAACCTGTGCTGGAGTGGACTGCATTATTGTAGGCAACTTCTGCAAAAGGGAATAAGTCCGCCCAATCGGTCTGTTGGAAATTAAGAAAACATCTTAAATATTGCTCAAGTACTGAGTTCATTTTTTCAGCCCCCCCCCCATTTCCTTGTGGATGATGGCTAGATGTCAGTCCCTGAGTGGTCCCTAAAAGGGATAAAAAATCCTTCCAAAATGCAGACGTAAATTGCACTCCCCTATCAGAGATGATGCGTTGGGGTGCCCCATGCAATCTGTAAATGTGCTGGACGAAAAGTTTCGCTAAGGCTTTTGCAGTGGAAATCTTTTGGCAAGGGATAAAGTGCACCTGTTCGGAAAAAAAATCCGTGACAGTCCAGACAACAGTATTCCCATTGCTTTCTGGCAATTCCACTATAAAATCCATGGCTATTTCCCTCCAGGGGTTCAGGGATTTGCCACTGTTTGTAATAGTCCTGGCGATTTCCCTTGTAACCTCTTTGCAGTTGCACATGTTGGGCAGCTGGCCACGTAGCTTTCTATGTCCATTTTTATGGATGGTCACCAAAATTGCCGTTTAATTAAGTGTAAAGTTTTTACAAATCCAAAATGCCCTGCTGATTTTGTGTCATGGCAAAGCTGCATGAATGTGACTCTTTGGATTGTTGGTATATATAACTTTTCACCTACCCAAGGCAACCCGTCTCTCATTGTGCACACATTTTTGTTTTTCTGGAACCATTCATCTGTTTCCAAAACTTTTCCGGAATTCAATTCCAGTTTGGCTGTCCAGTTGTTTTAATTTAGCTTGGGTTGTGGTGGTTACTGATACTGCCAGTTGTGACTCTGCCATCATTGGTTTAGAGTCTGTAGCTCGCGTGCTGTTATACTGTTATTGTTTGAGCTTAAATTGGAACTGGTGAAAATGCTGGGACCAGCCTGCTTGTTTGGGATTGAGCTTCCTGGGCGCTTTCAGGGCTTCCAAATTTTTGTGATCAGTCCACACCTGGAAGGGGATTTTGTTGCCTTCCAGGAACTGTCGCCACGTGAGTAATGCCCAACGTATCCCGTGTGCCTCTTTCTCCCATACGGGCCAGCGCTGTTCTGTTTCCGTGAGTTTCTTGGATGTATATGCACAGGGTTGCAATACCCCTTCATCATTTTCTTGTAATAGAACAGCCCCCACTGCCACATCACTTGCATCCGCCTGTATTACGAAGGGCTTATCCATATCTGGGTTCCTCAGTACTGGTTTGGCAGAAAAAAAGTCTCTTTAATCTCTCAAACGCTGCTTGGCACTCCATTGTCCATGTTAGTGGCTGGCTAGGTTTTACTGAGGATGCTCTTTTCGTTTTCAGTAAATTAGTGAGGGGCAGGGCTACCTGGGCAAATGAGGGGATTAATTGGCGGTAAAAGTTTGCAAAGCCCAGGAAATTTTGCAGTTGCTTTCTTGTGCAGGGTGGTGCCCAATCTAATACTGCTCTGACCTTCTCTGGGTCCATTTCAATGCCCTGTGGGGATATGCAATAACCTAGGTAGTCTATCCTTTCCTGGTGGAATTCGCATTTCGAGAGTTTGGCATATAGGTGGGCGGCTCGCAATTTCTTTAAAACTGCTCTGACTAGGTTAACATGTTCCTCTTTTGTTTTGGTGAAGATAAGAATGTCGTCTAAGTAAACCCCCTTAAACAAGTGCTCCCTTAGAACGTCATTGATTAATTGCATAAATACTGCGGGGCCTCCTTGTAATCCAAATGCAAGACTTTGAATTGATAGCACCCCATGGGGCAGTTAAATGCGGTCTTCCATTCATCCCCTTCCTTAATTCTCACACGATAGTAAGCTTCCCTTAGATCTACTTTAGAAAAAAAAATTCCTTTCAAGAGGTGTGACAGCATGTCTTTCATGAGGGGCAAAGGGTATAG